GCAATCGGCGGACTGTCGTCCGGGTTGAAAATGAGTGGCCAGTCGGGATCTTTTGGCCGCTTAAAAATTCATAGATAAATAAACAGATGCATGCGACGCGCACAATTATATGTGTGCTTCCCATATATATGCCAAAATGGTTTGTGTTTTTGGTTTTACTTGATTCTCGCTATTGACTTTGGCGATTTCAATTAAAGCACGTAATTGATTAACATTGAAGCGAGAATAAAAATTGAAATTATATTTACTTTTTATTATTGTGTCACCACTTACACTTCCCTTTTTTGTATCATCCATAAGCTTAATACACTTTTTTTTTGTTACGGCATTACATTTATTTCCAATTTACCATTTAAAAGGGTTATTCGTAGTAACAAAAAATGAACTCTTCTGTGGAATTCTATTTGTTAAATGCTGCCCTACATTATTTTATATATAACAATGCCAAGCTCTTGGCTGAAAAGTGTATTTAAGACTTCGATTCACTCGAAAGCCCTTCTGTCAGATACGATTTGTGTTTGCCGAAACTTTAAATTACATTTGCGGTCAAGGAAAGGGAGCTGAATACATTTTCCAATTGCGTTGATTTGTAATATTTGCTGTCGTTTCATTAATATGCGATAAGCATTATTGTGCCTGCGCAAATGCCAGAGTGCATATACTACATATGGCAGCAATGGTTGCAACACATCGATGATTATTGCGGCATAATTGTTGCAAAACTTGAACTCTTTGACCAGACCACCGGACAATCAGCCAAGGAATAAAGGAAACTGTCCCCAATACCATTCCCATTCCCATTCCCATTCCCATTGGCCACCCTTCATCCGGACTTAACCCCACGCCAGCCACACGCCTCGTTTTCGACCCCTGGCTCGGATTTGCATAATAAATGAGACACAAAAGCCAAGCGGCTACTGTCACATGGCCAATGGGGAAACTGGCCATGTGCCATCTATAATGATGATAATAATGATGCAAATGCACACACGGCACACACTCGTCGGAACAGGTGTAAAGGGGGGGCAATCGAAGTGAGAGTTGACTTGGACACAAATGCAAATGGGCTGCATATGCCAAAGGAACACTGTGCAAAACCAGAGGTTGCTTACTATTCAGTAAATTAAATTTAAATATTTTTGCTTCACAAAATTTAATACATAAACACATTATTTGATCACATAACTGGCTACGAAAATTAACATTAAGATTCATATTCACAATCATTTTCAAAAATTAGCCCCTTTTTTTTGTTTTTTAAATGGCAAACAATTTTATTTTAAAGGAAATTTTATAATAATAATAAATACTTCACACTAATAACTAAAGAAACGAATTGAAAATCACTTTAAATCATTTAAAATACATACATGTCATAAAAAAACAAATATAAAGGTTGACAAATACATATACTTTTGGGCTCAAGATAATTTACAGAATACAGAGCGACATTTCAATTACTCTTTTGGTGGTGTGATATTAATCTTTTAACATCTAAGAGTTTTAAAACAAGATATAAAGGTGTTTAAATGTATGCAACCATTTATATTGTTAATTTGAATGTTTGCCAGACTCATTTTGAACAAGTTCTGTATCCATTGCATACTTTTGGACACCTTTATTTTACTTTAGCTGTTGAGATTCAAAATGAGGTTGACAAATGGTATTTTGCAAACCAATTTTTCTTCACGTGCAACGGCAGATGATGAGCTGATGGAAGGGGTGCTAAAATCAGGGAGCGGGACAAATTGTAGGGGGCAACTGCAGGAGCAAAACAATATGCAAATTTTGTTGCATACTTTTCGGAGGCAGCGTGAAAATCATTGCAGCTAAGCAGACGGCAGACCCCGAACCTCGTAGCACCCTACCCACCCAACGATTTCGATCCGAAAACCCCAGACCAGAAAGTCAGACTACTCCAGTCGGCACAATCAAACAAATACACAAATAGAGCGGGACGGGTAGAGGGAGACAGAGAGAGAGAGCAACATAATGCCTTTCCGGTATCCAATAAACCGACTGCACTTGGACAGCCCGGATTTCCGCTTGAATCATTGATGAGCTATTAAAGTCATTTATATTTTGCTGTTTGTTGTTCGTCCAACTTCAGCGCCATCAAAGCGGACTTCTTTCCCTCTACCATCTCTTTCTGCCCCCCTATTGCCGTCTCTTTCGCGGCCGTGCAGTCTGTCATTCGGCGTCTCTTTCTGGCCTTGCAATTGCCGGTTCTACATAAACTTTTGTCACGTTTGTTCTCGACACGTTGGCAAGTTAGTTCGTTCGACGACAGGATAAGTTTCGTATTCATTAATACTCATTTGCACCCGGCAAAGCAATCGTTTATGGGGAAATTGAGCTGGACATCAAAGAAAGGGGTTAACGGACTGCATTCGCAATCGATTATATTTAATTAATTTAAAAAATTTATAGATTATACAGTACAAAAGAACTTAGGTGTGCTTTGATATAATAGTGTCTAAAAGTATGCAGAAAAATGTGTAAGCTCCGAATGTCCGAAGTTCTTACTGCATACTTTTAGACACCTTTATAAGAGATTTGAAAATTTGTACAGAAAGGAGTGCCGAGTTCCTTTACTTGGTATAAACAGTTTATCAATGGATTTGGTTATAAAAAAATATCAACACCATTTTAAAAATACCTTTAATTAATTCCAAATCTTTATTTACCAGAGGGTTGTATAGTATCTTGATTTGGGCTATTTCACTAGATTTCAGTTTAAATTTTAAATTGCTACAGTAACCAATTATTTTCCGACATTTAAGCTGACATCTCTTTAATGGCTTCCAATTCCATCTTAATGAGGCCCCAAAACTTCATGGGCGGTAGAGGGGGCGTGGCGAAAAGGACACTGCAAACCCCAAACAATTGAATGGCGATTTTCAATACCCCGAATCGGCGAATGTGTGGCCGTTGTAACTACAAGTTGCAGGTGGGCGGGGAAAAAAGGGGGAGTCGGCCGGGTGGATGAAAGTGGCAATTTCCACGACAACAACAGTCGAACCAAAAGCCACGACAACGACGACGTTGATGGAAATGAAATGAAAAGATAATTTACCCGCATGTTTCGACATCAGAGCCGGCCACGCCCACCGAAAGGAGTGTCTAGGCTTGAGTCCGGTTCTGAATCGGTTTGCGAATCGCTTACAGAATCTGAATCCGAGTCGGAGTCCAAATCCGAATTTTAACCAGGCACAGGAGCTTCTGGCTCATCCTTGTCCAGTTGAGCTGCTGTCGTCATCATCAGCTGCCCATCATCCTAATCATGGCAATCATCTTCATCGGACATCGCCATCATGCTCATCATCTTCAACATCTTCATCATCGGCATGCCCATTGTGGTGGCCACTAATGCTAATGCCTGGCTATCTGTCTATCCATCAGGCGGCCATGTTATGATGTAAATGCCAGGCTTCCAGCTCTTCATTTCGTTTCTGCCCACGCACTGTAAGAAAAATCAGTAGATTATGGAGATTTAGCCAATAGGACGATTGAAATCATTTAAATAAGCACCTAAAAGTATGCAACCATATGTATTTATTCCGAATTTTCTACGAATTCATTCCGAAAAACCGCGTTATTTTTTCATTGCATACTTTTAGGCATCTAAGAGTGAGATTTGAAAGTTCAGGAGATTTATGAAGCATATCCTCAAACAGGTTCTTAAATAAATAAAGAAATGATATTTCCAAGGAGTAAGTGTAAAATCTTTTTAAAATTTAAAAGCTTTTAATATTTGTCATAATTTTTATATTTTATCTACAAATTTCTATAACACCTTTATTTTTTAAACTTGGTTTTATTTATTAAAGACAGTATTTGCTTCAATAATATAATAAATAAACTCGAAAATAATATGTAAGTGATACCTTTTTGAATGTTAATTTATTTTGATTGCTTAGTAACAGTAATTAAGGAGTATAAATTTGGATGGATAAAAACCTAAATTTTTGGTAAGTTATCCTTGCAGTCTAGAAAATGTAACTAATTTGAAGAAATGGAACTTAATTAAACCACATTATTTCTCTCTCTGTACTGATGATGATAATGGCCCGGCTGCAGCCTCAATCCCGCTTCATTCCAGTTCAAATATGTCGCTTCCGTCTTGTCATTGGGTTTGCAGGCAGTAAGGCCAGTAAGGCTGCTGCCGAACATTTGCCAGGGGGATATACACGTATATATGTTTGGGTCGATCCGGGGGTTAGGCAAATCGGGGGATATGGCGGACATGATGGTGGAGAAGACGGGGCAGGCTGAGTGGGTGGCACACGCACAGGCCGAAGGCCCACAAATTTATTGTTCTTAAACATCTGAGAGCCCGGCTCCTGGTGCTCCTGCTATATTTGAATGCCAAGTTGCCAGTTGTCACAATGTGAGTGATATATAGCCGAAATGTCAAATGTCAGCGAAAGACATTATTACTGGCTAGTTGATCCGTCCTCGTCGCCTCCACTTGGCCTCCACCTCGGGTTGCCTATGTCACTCCTCCTCATCCCCATACTCAACCACCTCCTCGACATCCTCCTCATTTGTGCATTTGTGTCTCCGTCTACGGATGCCGCCGTCTGCCAGGATAATCGATACGCATAAGTACACACCCACACAAACAGCGGCGACAGGATGGCACATTAAAGGATTGGGTTCGATTGTAGCCCAGGATTCGCTTAAATCGCACTTAAAGTGCAGCCCCTAACTACGATACTTAATATCGAGCAGGAATCTAGACTTTCAAACTTGTTGTGATTTATGCCAATCAATATTTGTATAATGTTTCAGGGGTGCCAAAGAAATCACTTGAGGTTTATACGATGGAATATAATTGTGTCCGGAGGTATGTAACTCAATAAGTTTTTTATTATAAAAGTTTAAAAACTAACGTTTTTACGCTATATGAAAACTCTGCATTCATTACGTTTTTCTATCAGTGCATCACTATATCATTGCTTTTTAAAGTATTAAAAGGGGATCCAAGAACCCTACGACTTTACTATCCTGCTCACACATTCATTTTCAGTGAGCCCCGTTCGGATCGAAAGACAAACACACAGAGAAACGGAAACGACCTAAATCTAAACCGGAAGTTAAAGTGAGACAATGGAGCGACTGCGATCGTCGCAAAGCCGCGAGGTGCGGATCGGGAACTACAAGGTGGTGAGAAAGATTGGATGCGGGTCCTTCGGCGACATCTACCTGGGCATTTACATCCACAGTGGCGAACGGGTGGCCATCAAGGTGGAGAGCAGCCGGGTGCGTCATCCGCAGCTGAACTACGAGAGGCGACTGTACAGGGCACTCAGACCCGCCCACGGGCTGCCCAGGATCAGGTATTATCACAAGGAACCGCACTACCAGGCGATGGTGATGGATCTGCTGGGACCCTCGCTGGAGCGGCTCTTCCAGTTCTGCGAGAGGGCCTTCACCATCAAGACGGTGCTCCTTCTGGCCGAGCAAATGTTCCGGCGGGTGGAGTACGTCCATAGCCGGGGATTCCTGCACCGCGACATCAAGCCGGATAACTTCCTAATGGGCCTGGGCACCATGTCCAAGCAGGTGTACCTGATTGACTTTGGCCTGTCGAAGAAATTCCTGGACATAACCACTGGTGTGCACATACCATATCGTGAGGAACGTCCTCTAACCGGAACTGCCCGATATTCCTCCATTTGCGCCCACGAAGGCATCGAATCCTCGAGGCGGGATGATATGGTGTCCGTGGGCTATGTCCTTATGTACTTTAATCGCGGATCGCTGCCCTGGCAGGATATGAAGGCCTCCACCAAATTGCAGAAGTACGAGCGCATTCACGAGAAGAAGATCTCGGTGAGTGTGGAGGTCCTGTGCGAGGGATTCCCCTGCGAGTTCACCATGTACCTGAACTACTGCCGCGGCATGGGGTTCTACGAGAGACCCCAGTACGACACCATCTGCCGGATGTTCCGCATGCTAAGGAATGGCCTTAATCTTCGACCCGGACTGATCTACGACTGGGACATGCTGATGATGAAGTTCCACAACACCCAGATTAATCCCGGAATCGGACATCGGGTCTTCCCGCCCAAACAGCCGCAGGACGAGGGACGCAGCGGAGAGCCGATCGTCAAGGACGAAAAGTGCAACTACTGGCCTTGAGGAATATCTAGTATCTAGTATCTATCTTAGTATCTAGTCCAAACAAGTCAAAGTGTGTTGTATAAATTTATAGTCACTCCAAATTCATTGGTCAGCCATCTGGAACGACTGGTATTTTGAGAAAAAATAAATGGATTTTAATATACATATGTATTTATATATATATATAAAATTCAGGATCTTAATTAGACTTATTTTCACAAAGGCAGCTAATGGATATGATCACACAATTTCCATACAATATATGTAAAATCATCAATACTTTTTATTTATATATCTATTATTTGTGTGTGTTTTTATTTTAAAGGTAGCTTAGTCTGAAAACAGAAGCTTCTTATTATAAGCCACGCTAAGTTTTTAATGCCTGATAAACAATAGATTATTGTAATTCATATCACAGTAGGGAAAAGAGATATCCGAACACCTGCGTAAAAAATCTAAAAAGGCTGAGTAGGGTTGGATATTGTCTTATCTAAGACATATTACGTATTCCTTCAATATCAAGTTTTGGGATATTTTGCCTTTTCGTTTGGTAGAACAATATCTCAACTAAAAATACACCATATGTACTAGATGTTATGCCGAGTAAAAGCCGTCATAAAAAGAAAGGAGTTTCTGCAAAATATGTAGAGTCTTTTTAAAAATAGGTAACAGAATTGTTAAAATGAAAAAAATTGCGAAAAAAATACAGAAATATTATTGTTTGATTTCCCGCCGAAGTAAAAACTAGCTAAAAGCGCCATAAAAACTCTTCTGAATTCCCTATACATTTCTTTACAATGCTGAAAACAAAAACGCAGCGGTTCAAACAACAAATATTGTCTGACTAAATAAACGAAAGAAGTATTTTCCACCTCTCCGGACTTCTTTGTGCGCTGCTATAAAATACTAGAAATGTTTTAAATATATCGGCCCCCCTGGTAAATATTAATTTGAGTCAATGATATCTGAAACCAGCCAGACATTTCTTGCCCCACTTAAACCGAAATGTTTTTATGTCGACTTTATGTCCGACAAGACTACTTTTCGATGGGAATATGCATGCTATGTAAATCAAATCGATGGGCTTTTCCTCGGAACTATCAACTGTTGCCTTTTGTTTACGCACCGACAGGAAACAGTGATTTGAAGAGTGAACACACAGATGGATGGCGACCAAGTAAAAACGGAATTCCATTTTTCCGTAGTCTCCGCAAACAGATGGGGCAGATACAGATACATATAGTAGATAGATAGATAGATGGATGGATGGATGTATAGATGGGTGGATGGGGGAAGGTGGATGTGGGTGGTGGGAAGACATTCCCACCCACGGCTAATAAAAGTGGTTCGGTTTTTCCAATTCGAGAGAGGCGACAACGATGGGCGGTGGGCGTTTGGGTGGCTGAGTGGGTGGGTGGTTTTTCCAGTGGGCAGTGGCAGCCCCGGCAAATAGAGCAATTTAAATTGGAACGTGATTATGCAAACGTTTGCACAGCTTAACTCAAGTGCCGCTCCGTGCCGCTCGGCCAGTTGGCCAGTTGCCGCTGCTCACACATGGCTAAGAGTGGTGCAGAGTGGTGCCGAGTGGTGCCGAGTGGCCGGTAGAGTGGTGCAGGCAGATTGGGTAAAAAAAAATGAGAGGAGAAATAAAAGGAGGATCCACCCCGCCTGCATTACAAGACTTAAATCAATTTTTAAGGCCAACCGGCCACCGCACAAAAATCCATCTAAGTGCAGCATGTCTGGCTTAGGCGCCAACCACTTAGGTTTCTCCATGGACACCTCCACAGATTCCTCTGCAGATTCCTCCAGCGACGAATGAAGAAACCTTCTGACTGGAAATGCAACATCTGGTCGATTTGTGGTATATTCCCTTGACTGTTTTTTCTTAGAAGCCAACATAAACAGAGAACTTCGCTTTTAATTAGCCAATTGGTTCCTCTATTTACAAGTTATAGCCTTTATTTTCTTAACAGTTTTTTGAATTGATAAATAATATCCAAAACAATTATTATTATCAAAAATATTTTAATCAAGAAGTCCAGAGGTGTCTATATATATAAATAATATATTTTGTGACCAGAAGATAAACCTATACCGAAATTCGACGTTATTTTGTTTATTGCATACTTTTAGTCATCTTTATAAAATATTTCTGTGGCACCCATACTAGAATAATTATAGAAAAACTCTCCTGCAATTTACTGTGTTCATACTTTATTTAGTTCAATTTAATTTATTTTAATATTCGAATTTAAAAAAAATTGAGTTTTAACACTCTTCTGTAATTGTATTAATTTGCTTAGACTTAATTTGTACGTACCTATACTTCAACGTGGATTTTAATTATGTAAAATACAAAATATGTGCATTAGGAGTTTTTCAAAATTATTTTTAGAAGGTCTATAAATCTATAAAAAGCTTTAAAAAGAAGGACACAAGATGCTTTTGGAAAGATGATTTTAAATTTAGTGTTATTCAAATGTTTTTAGAAAAATGGTCCTTAGATTGAATATTATTAACATTGGTTTTGTATACTATTAAAAAAATGTAGTAAATGTTAATAAAATCATTTTCTATAAATTTTATGATATTGAGAAAGATAAATTATTTTGTTGACCCATCATCAGATTTATGCACCCACTCCATCCAGCGGCGCAGTCCGCCCTCCCAGCGACCCGAGAGAAATTCCAGGAGGAACATTCCGGTGGCCAGGACCATTACCAGGGTGTGGATGCGATAGGCCCCGGCCATGATCTTGTGGGTGATCTCGGGCAGGAGGTGCTGGTCGTTGGCAGCCACATCCGGCTTGTCCACATACTGCAGATACTTCCGCTCGATGTGGGCCATCACCCCGGCACTCAGCAGCTGTTTAATCTTGCGATCCACGGCGGGTCGCAGAAAGGAGCTCCTGGGAAAGTAGATGACCAGCTGGTACATGTAGATTGGCTGGCGCACGAAGGTCAGCTGGCTGATGTTGCGATTCTGGTGGTTCCAGTAGGCCAGATTGCTGATCAGCGAGATGGTGGTCAGTCTCTCGCCCGGAGCTGCCCTCTGAACCCGCTCGAAACGCGAGGCAAAGGACTCGCCCAGCCGGCGAGTGAGTGGCCGGGGATAGAAGTCATGATACCCGTTCGAAACCAGGGTATAGTTGTCCTTAATTAGACCAATAAGATCCTGGGGCAGGGGGCGGTGGTGCGAGAGGCGCAGGACATCAAACAATCGCGCCTGGTAGGCACACCGGAGCACCAGGGTCAGGAGCAGCCAGCTGGCCAGGAGATACCGCAGGAATCCCGTTCCCGGCACCCGTTGCGTGGGTATCGGATTGCCCACAAACACCAGCAGTAGGTTCTCCAGAGGACGTCGCAACCCGAGACGGGATCTCAGTCCACAGGTGCCCAGGATGGCCAGAAGGAGCACCACTATGATCGTACCCCACACCTTTCCGCGAAATGGGAGGATCAGCGGTCCAAAGCGACCCAGGTACCGATCCCTACGCACCACCATCACAAAGTGGCTCTGGTGGTACACCGTCGACCGGGAGAACTGCCAGCGGCGCTTGTCCGAGCCACTAAGTCCACCGATGGCTATCGCCACGCTCTCGTCCGCCAACTGAAAAGGATACAGAAACATTACACAGATCTTAATTTCCTCAAAAAAAAATTTGAAAATGTTTATTATAAAAATTTAAATTGAAGTTCAAACTCTTCTCACCCAAAAGTATATTATATGAGAACATGTATCAAACAAAGTTATAATCTTTAGTCTTTTCTCACCTGCGCGAAGCATCCGGAAACGTTTCCCTCGCCGAAGATCTGGCTGGGCTCGTGGGGCATGTAGAGCTGGATGCGGAACCGCAGCGCCTTGGCCAGCAGCTGGAGCAGGTCCCAGTCTATCCCTGAGACGTCCTGGGCGGGAATGGTCTCGTTGGAGGGCGGCGGATGGCGGTGCCGCTTGTAGATGAGGTGGGGCGGCAGGTGGTTGGCGCCCACGTTGAGTGGACAGTCGCCCAGGTGGCCATGCCGGACGGGATACAAGTCGCGCATCACCTGGAGCGGCTTCCCGGTGCCCCTGTCGAAGTGGTTGATCCGCCTCACCGTGATGCCCGGCGTGCAGTTGGCCTTGAAGAGATTGTAGCTGTAGGTGGCCACGGTGCCGTCCTCCACTTGGGCCACCACCACCACGTTGAGAAAGGCCAGCCGCAGATTGGCGGCCACAATGCTTCCGACAGTCCGCTCCACAGTCCCGGGGTTCTGGAGCTCCGTCACCACCACCATGCAGAAGAACTCCCTCTCAAGCAACTCGTAGGGAAAGGAAAACACCTTTCCGCTGCAAAAGACGGTATGACATTTATGAAATTGAAAAATCAAAGGTCTTGGCTAATTAGATATCTATAAAAAAGTAAAGAAATAATCAGATAATACATATAGAAGTAACAAAATAAAATAAATTAAAAATATAATAAATAAAAAAATATTTAGGGAAATGAGAACATCTTACCTCTGCTAAAGATACAAGTCTTATGAAATTAAAAATATAAAAAATAAAGAAATAAACAGATAATGCATAAGGAGATAACAAAATAAAATAAGTTCAAAATATAATAAATAAAGAATATATATTTTTAAATCAAGTACATTTCAAATCGCCTGTTTCTAAAGTCAAGCCTAGACGATTTATTATTATTATTTTTCTTAAAAAACTTATCAACACTATATTAAATACTAGTGCTTGCGAAAACGCCCAGTAAAATAACGTCCAATTTTTTAAGCTTGAAGCTTCTATTTTTAAAAAACACTTTTTAAAATAAAAGAAAGCATTTTCGTTATTTCACTGGGCGTTATTGCATGTACTCAATAAATACAATAAGCTTTTACCTTCTAGGAAAATATTTGAAATATTATTAGTTTGTACTATTTGTATTTCTTTACTATGTAAGAAATATTATTTACATGTAATATTTGGTTTATACTAAACAAAATTATAAAAATAATTTAATATATATATTTAAATATAGGTATTAAAAATGGAATTTGATATGAATACCATACAAATATTAGTCATTTAAATTATTTACATTTCTGGCATAATGCAGTCCATACAAACATTACAAAATTAGAGGCTTAGGATCTTTTGAGTTTAT